GGGGTCCTGTCCCGGTTTTTTTTTTCGCTCGTGGGGCGTTTTCTTTTTGGAGGGGGCGCGGGGCTGTTGAGTGGCGGCGGGCGGTTGTGCAGAGCCTTCCCCTTCCGGGGGTGCGGTGCGGATGTTGTTTCCTGTGTTTGTGTCCCTTTCCCTTAGTGTGTATACCTCTTGTATGTAGGTTTCGCCTGTTGGCGCTGGTGGTAATTCTTTTTCCCCGCTGGGCGAACTGGGGTGTGGGGTTGGATGCTCTGTTATTGTGCAGGAACTAATGCCACGAGCTCACGTTATATTTGTTTTTGTCTTTTTGTGGGTTCTTGAAGTGTGCGTTTGGTTAGGAACAATGCGCTTTGCCTATACTCTAGGTTTGTTTTTGCTTTTGCTTGCCGGAGTGCTGGTACTATTACCAGAATCTGACCAAGATCCAACACCACTACCCGAGGGTTATACTTTTGATGCATTGCAAGCAAAGTTTGGAGCATCGAGAGACCTTGATCACACCGAGACAAGGGTACTGTATCGCTTGATTTTACAGGACATTAGTGACTACATGAATCACCTGAATGACACCTCTGAAGCCAGTCAGCATGCAATGTCGTGCAACGCATTGCGCTGGACTGCTCGTCTGTACGCACGATCAAGGGATGGGACGTATGCTTTACCCAAGATAACGGATTGGATGCTTCAATTGAGGGACAGTTACGTTCATGGATTTCGATACCTCCCTGGTAGTCTGTTGGAGGACTTTTGGAGAGTTTTGAGTGGGGATGCATCCTTTGGCCGTTCTACTGCTGTACTTCAGCAAGTTTATGCATGCCTTTTTCCCTCACCCAGATCTGCAGGGTGCCCGTCATATCAGTTTCTTCGCCAGACAAAGGGGAAGACCGATAAGGATGTTCTGGCATCTTGCACGATTAGCAACGCAAAGTACTAGTTTCTTTGGCTGAAAACCGTGGATATTTTCGTTGCTCTTTGCAGACAGAACGGGAATCTGTTGTAAAATGAAAAGGTGATAAGAAACAAGAGGGCGCGAAGCCTTTTTGTTGTTTTTTTACTGTTTTGGAATAGCTGCTTTCTCTTTTAAAAAAATCCCAAAAGACTAAGAAAAAAAAAGAAAATAATGAGCAACCCAACCGAACAGGCCCTTCTGCAGATTGCAGAAACTATAGAACGGGCCGTTGACGATGAGATGGAACGCGTTGATAACATCGATGAAGAGGAACTAATGGAGCTTCGTCGCAAACGCCTAAGAGGACTGAAGGAAATGGAGGCGCGTCGAAGCGCTTGGCTAAAGAAAGGACATGGTCACCTTCAGGAACTGACTGATCCAAAGGAGTTCTTTGAGGCTGTGGAGCAGTCTGAGCGTGTGGTGGTTCATTTCATGAGGAGAAGCACCTCGAGGTGTTCTATTCTTGAGCGTCATCTGCGAACAATTGCCATGCAACATTTTGAGACGCGTTTTTGCTATGTTGACGTCGAGAGAATTCCATCTTTGGCTGAGAGATTCAATGTTATCATGCTGCCCACTCTTATGCTTATTGAAAACAAAAAGACATTCTACAGCATTATTGGATTCGATGAGTTTGGCGGAACCGATGATTTTTCGACAGAAACAGTGGTACAGGTGCTTTCTCATTATGGTATGTTAAATGAGAATGGCATGTTCGCAGCTGATCAGAGCGCTGAATAAAGTGTGTTTTAATATTCTTATGGACGCGTTGGTGCTTTACAACCTGTATTTCGTTGTTTTCTATATGGTACAACTTATATACACAGTAAATATATATATATATATATATATATATATTTGTTATTTGTCTACTACAAAGTAAAACTATTGTTTGCTCAAATTGAAGTCAATAAGAAAACAAAAGGAACCAATGTCTGCAGTGGATGGCGGTGCTAGCAATCGCTTTGCGGGACGTGCGAAACAGGTAGAGGACCCTACTACAAAGGCTCTGCGAATCAAAGTAAGCGGCCTTAAACGCAACCTTAAGGATCTTGAGTTCGCCAAAAAGGAGGTCGTTCGTGAAACAGAGCGCCTGGAATCTATCAAACAAAATGATCCGGATAGAGTCAAACAACAGGAAAATGTTCTTGGCGAAGCTCAGATGATGATTCCCCATTCAGAGAACAGGGTGCGGGCGGCGATAAAAGATCTAAAAGATTTTTTACAAGAAAATGACACAATCAATAGAGACGATGAGTTGGTAGAGAGTGCACACCAAATATTAAAGGAGGGGAGCTCTGTATTGTCTCAGGAGTAAACTCTAGATAATCTATTGTGATGCGCTTTTTTCCCCCTTGCTTCTCAAAAGCCATGATGGGCTTTTCGTCACTCTCGTTCCTTCACTTTTCTTTCTCCTGTTTTAGGTTTGCTAAATGAATATTGTTTGGTATCGACGGATTTGGTTTATAACTTTATCGCTTTTGCTGGTGGTTGGCTTAATATGCATCCTTTCGAGTGAATGTGACCTCCACATGGAGGGTGACCACCTTCGGGTGCACACAAGGCCACACGGTATAGGTATCACAAGTTTAGATCAAACCGATCAGAAGTCTTTTAGTTCACTGTCAGAGAAAAATGTCTACGATGGGTACACCTATGTCCTTTCAACGTACTACTTTAACGCTTCGTCAGGCTTTTATAAACATAGACAAGCACCTTCAACGGAATGGCTTGTAGTGTTTATTTCTTCGTTACGTGCAGTGGCACGGAAACGGGTGGCGGATTCTGCTGTACCACCTTCTCTCCGCAGCACAAAGTTGGTGTTTTTTACGGATGCATTGACCTTTTCAGTGCTATGGCGTGATGTGCATATTATCAGAACGTGGTCGAATGAAGGGTTTTTACATTGGATAATAGTGTGCCCTCCAGATGGCAACACGACGGCTTCTGGTGTAGCAATTCCTGGTGACGTTCCGGCGGATGTTGCACAGATTTGGAGCCCTGAATTTTTAAATGAAAAGTGGGCTAGTGGCGTGAGAAACGGGGCAAACAATTTTCGCTTTGCTCTTTATTATAAATGGCTTCAACAATACTTGCGTTTTCATGAGTATTCATCACATGGTGACTTACATATGGCATCAGAGAGCTCTCGTTTTGTTATATGTGACTCCTCTGATGTTGCTTTTCAGCGGGATCCTTTCCTGCCGGGTGGTGGCTGTTTTCCGCAAGAGCCCGATCCATACGTGGTTTTTACTCTCGAGAGCAGAAAAAAGAACTTTCGAAATGAGAAGTACAACCGCCGTTGGATGTTATGCTACGGCGAAGGTGTACTGAAACTCATAGGAAAAGGAGAAATAGCATGTGCGGGTGTTATTCTGGGGAATGGAATGGGCATGTTGCGGTATCTGGCTTCACTGCTGCAAGAAATCCAAGACCCTCACCTTGTGGAATGCTCCTTGTCACTTGAGGCTGCTCTTGACCAGGCGAACCATAACTATCTGCTCCACGTGAAGCATGATTATCCATCCTACAAAAAAATAAAGAGCTCACATGAAAGCTCATACTGTGCGTTTCATGGAAATTATGGAAAAGCAGTTTTAAACGTGGAGAACTCTGTTGTTGCGCCAGGGACAAACTTCTCCTATGCAATTGTTCATCAGTATACTGCAGATCGACACCCTTTGGTGATGAAGCAAATGAAAAAGCTCTATGGAGTGCCACATTAGTCTCATATTGTCGAGCAGTGATTTGTTTTCCTGATTGTTTTTATTTTCTGGTGGCCGGTCGCGTTGAAAGCTCTACGACGCAGAGTGAGGCATCTCTTCAGCTCGTATTCTTTGGTCTTTCCTTCACTCTCCCTCTATTTTTTTCTTCTGGTGTGTGTGTGTGTGTAGACCACGGAAAATATGACAACTCGAAATAGTGTGAGACATGGTAGTGAGGATCCTCTCTCACTGTCAAATGTAACGGGACGTGCTTCGCATATGCGCGGTCGAAGAACCCACTCTTCGTCGTTCAGCAACCGCAAAAGGAATCAGCCTCTCGCTCTAAATGCGGGGAACCTAAGACATCTTTCACATGGCACTCCGGCTTCTTCACGACCAGTTGGCACTTCTCGAAGCAGTTGCTCATGTTCCGTTGCGACACTAGAAGAGACCATAGCTGATGTTATGGGAATCCGGATGCAGTCATTGACCGATCTGGGCGCACGCATAGAGGAGCTTTCTTCTTTGCACCGACAGGAGGAATGTGTGTTTCGGCAGCAGGTAGGGAGTGTTCTCCAGCAATTAGAAACAGCGCGTCTCAGTCAACTTGGTACGGAGCAGGACTACGAAGCTCTACTAAAAAAAGAGCGTGCTGAAAGCCATGCCGTAATGTCACTGATGCAGCGGTTTAAAACGGAAGGTGCTGAGGTGATTAGTACAATGAAAAGATCTTTGCAAGAAGTTAAGGAGAAATGGAAAGCCGAGGTCGAGCGAAACGCTCATTTAACTGCTCAGTTGCGGCAATACTCGAAGAAAATAACCCCGCCGCCGGAAGATATAGTAGTAAAGGATTCGGAGGCATCCGTGTTAAGGTCTGAAAATAAAGCACTCCAAACAAAGGTTCAGGCGCTTGTCAGACTTCTTGAAGAAGAGGATGCTGTCATAGTTGAGTTGCAGGAGCGTAATAAGGCTCTTGAAAAGAAAGTATCGGTTCTCATTCAGCAGCGCAACCGTCTTTTGGACATAGAGGCGCAGCATGTAGAGACCGAGGAGTTTAACACGGAATACAACGAACTACTTAATCAGGTCCGTTATTCCGATGTTGATCAAAATAAAATGCCACCTGCAAAAAAAGTGGATGTCCTAACGCGATTTACGAAAATGCTTTTGCAGCGTTTACAAGCAGAACAAAGACAACGGCTTCGCGTCGAAGAGCAGACCGTTCGAATGGCTTCGGAACATGATCGGGTAGTGCGTGCGCTTGAGGCTCGCATCAAAAGTATTGAAGGGCAAAGTAGTAACCCTACGCCTTCAAATCGCCAGAGTGCTTCATACGCAGATGTTGAGCAGGCTTGCAGTGGCATCCCAAGCAATGAAATGGGTGAAAATCCAATTATTAATGGCGAAGTTTCCTCTGCGTGGGAACAGTTGAGGGGTGGTGAAGCACTGTTGCCACTTGGTGGTGACAATAATATGAAGGACATTCCCTGTTGTGATGCAGATACGAGAGATAGAGGACTGCGGCAAAGTGAGCCGGCGCCGAATGACAATTCGGAGGCTGCTGTGCATGCAGCGCTGGAAGCCCAGTTGTTGTCCGTCGCAAGTAACTTTCGGCGTTCAATAGAGGAATGGAACGCTTTGCCGTTGGGTGAGGGTAAACCGCTTCGTGAAGAAGACTTCTATCCTGACTGACTGTTCTTCTTGCTAAAAGAAAAAAAAAACGAAAACCGAATGAGTATCCAACTTCTTCAGTAGGCATCAGTTTGTGAGGAGAGTGCCAATCGTTTCCACAATTGAAAAACTCTGAATCATAGTATGGACTCATTATTGTANAGTAGGCATCAGTTTGTGAGGAGAGTGCCAATCGTTTCCACAATTGAAAAACTCTGAATCATAGTATGGACTCATTATTGTATCGTTTAGTTATCAATTTGACAAACTAGTTCTCTTTTGCGGTAGTCAATTAATACGTCTGCAAAAACCCATCGACGGTAATTTCTTCCATATGGGCTATGCACTGGGATCGGCGTTGGGCGGGATCATTTGGCCAATTATCATTGCCCATCCAATCATGCTTTGTTCGCAGCGCCTCAGATGTGTGTGACGGCTGCCCAAGAGGTTCTTTAGAACAAAAAAAAAAATGAAATTGCCGAAAGAATAAAAACAGGCATCTTCTAAGGTATGTACTGTCTGGCTATTGAGGAATCATATTTTTTTTTTTGTAGGTGATGTGTTTTGTAGATGATCATCTGGAGGGTGTATTTGTGTTTTCTCATTTGATCGTTTGCTTCTCTGAGTATGTGAAGAGGTGACGCCGGAGGCTCAGGAAGGCTATCGCCTGTGAGTGTCACTGCCATGATTCCGGTGGCAAGGAACCTGAAGAGGAGTTAACACCTTTGCTGGTTAAAACCCCACCCCCAGGGACGTTCAACCTTGGCAGAGTTATTGCATCGGTTAGATCTCGACAAGGTCACGACGATTTTTGTTGCTGTGCAGTAAAACCATATCGCTGAGTTTCGCAACACGGACGCTTCTTGTTTTGAGGCTTGTATCGGTAAGACAATCTCGAGTATTGGTGTTAAATACAGGATTGATTATGTCGAATGGGTAGAGAGTACCCCAGAAACAGTTTTTGACTATTGCTTTAGCCACAGCGTGTAGCAAACGGAAAACTGGAAAAAGTATCATATGTTTCTTCTTTCTCTTCTTTCCGGGAAGTAATACCTAGGCCATTCTTCTAAGGTATATGCTGAAATGTTTCTGTGTGTGTATGTGCGAGGTGGTGATAGTAGGCTAACATTTGTGACGTTGGAGTCTAACTTTTCATGCAATTCAAGATTAAGAAGAAAATGTGATAATTGTGCCGCATCTGCATTTTAGGAAATACCTTTTGCTCGCCACATGCCTATTTTCCAATTTTTTTTTTTTTGAAGGGACTTTCTGCCATGTTTGGGGCATCGCCAGATGAGCAGAACAACAACAATAACAAGGGGGGCTTGGCGGCAGCGGCGACCACAAAATACCCCAACTATTTGGCGGACCGAGAGGTATTTAAGCGCTTCTTCGAGGAGTTCCGTGATCCATCTGGTACGTTGAAGTATGTGAAAATGCTGGACCAGATAGCGCGTAGACAGTTAAAGGTTTTTACATTGCAACTGGACGATGTATCCCATTACGGTCAGTTATACGTTGCACAGCGGATACAGATGAACGCCATGGGATACTGTGAAGAGGTGTGCCGCGTCATAGATGAACTCATGCCTCAGACAGATGTTGTGGAGGACATGATTGATTACCTTATTCTTGAAGCACGAGCTGCTAATCAATCTTTGCCATTCTTGCTGACACGACGATATGAACTAGTCCTTGTGCCTTTGAACGCGTACTTGGATCCGATTCCTCTTCGACAGTTAAAGGGTGGATCGATTGGCACACTTACCGTTCTGCGTGGAATTTGCATTGCTGCCACTGCTGTTCGTCCAAAGTTAACGATGCTGGTTTCCGTTTGCGAGGTATGTGCTGAGACGACATTTCAGCAGGTGATTGGGGATCGCCTCACCCCGCTGATGGTGTGCCAGTCACAGCGCTGCAAGCTAAACAACACAGTAGGCCGTCTGCTTCCGCAGTACAAGGCTAGTAAGTTCAGCAAGTACCAGGAGCTTCGTCTCCAGGAACTTCCACAGGATGTCCCTCGCGGCGCAATTCCGCGTACCATCCGTGTTGTATGCGAGGGTGAGCAGACAAGGATTGCTACCCCGGGCCAAGTGGTGCGCGTCACTGGCACGTACTGCCCTGACCCGTCGACTGGACAGGGTCATGAGGCATTTCGAGCTTCCACGATGGTGAAAACTCTTTTCCGCGCGTTACATGTCGAACTGGAGAAGCGCAGCTATCAGGAGGCTGCGGAGGACCTCAAGGCACAGGTAAGCCAGGTGCGGGATTACCCAGATAAAGAGGCCGTTATTGAGAAACTGACACGCAGTGTGGCGCCTGAGATTTGGGGAATGGAGGATGTAAAAAAGGCACTGCTGTGTTTGCTGGTCGGTGGTAGCGCAATTGCCAACGGAATTCGTATTCGAAGTGACATTAACATCTGTTTAATGGGAGATCCGGGAGTGGCGAAGAGTCAGTTGCTGAAGTGGATTGCCTCTGTGGCGCCACGTTCCGTTTTTACGACAGGAAAGGGTAGTTCTGGTGTAGGTTTGACAGCAGCGGTGACGAGAGACACGCACACCGGAGAGGTAATGCTGGAAGGTGGTGCATTGGTTCTCTCTGATAAGGGAATTTGCTGCATTGATGAATTTGACAAGATGGATGATGCAGACAGGACAGCATTACATGAGGTGATGGAACAGCAACTAGTATCCATCGCGAAGGCTGGTATTATCACCTCATTGAATGCCCGTACATCCATTCTGGCGGCTTCTAACCCAAAATACGGTCGATGGCGGCGCAACTTGACCCCGAGTGAGAATGTAAACTTGCCACCCGCATTGCTTTCCCGTTTTGACATTTTGTGGCTTCTACTTGACGAGTCTAACCGTGAGCGGGATGCAGAGTTATCTATGCATGTCACGTACGTGCATCTCCACGGTGTGGCGCCTGGAAATATGTCCGATAACGGTCTCTACGGCTCTTCCTCCGAATACTTTGGGAAGGACTTTCTGCGCGCGTACGTTGGGGAAGTGAAGCGAATTCATCCGTTTGTTGACAGCACTGCGGCGAAAGCAATTAGTGACATTTACTGCGAGATGCGGGCGCAGAGCGTGCGCCATACCAACGTGGTAACTGCACGTACACTGCTTAGTATTATTCGACTCTCACAGGCTTGCGCTCGTCTTCGTTTTTCGGAGCGTGTCATGGAGTCTGATGTTCGTGAGGCGGGTCGTCTGTTGGATTGCAGCAAGATTTCCCTGCAAGAACGCACAGACTCGGGCGGGCGACGCACTGTCACAACATCGGACGCCGCTATCTTCTCCACCATTAAGGAGTTGGCCCGCTCCAGGGCCACTATTGATCTGGCAGAGGTGCGACCGGCTCTCATGATTAAGGGCATTGACGAGTCACACTTGCAGCGGTGCCTGCATACCTACGCAGAGGTCGGTGTGTGGGAAGTGAACGGGAACATCATTGAGTTTTCACCAGAGTGACCCCCAATATATATATATATATATATATTACATAGAAGGATGATGAAAGAACGAGTGTGCGACCCGCAGAATGGAATGAAGGAGGAGATAAAGGGCTAAACCACACAGTGCAAGATACCCGGCGGTCGTATTTCTCCTCTGTTGTCGCCGTGGGTGGTTGTTGTTGGGGGTGCCACGCTCTTTTTATCTGGACTCTTCTCGCCGGTTTAAATCAAGAAACAACATCACCAACAACAACAAGAAACAAATGAGAAGGGGATATGTATCTGGCTTACACTTGCTTCTCTTCTAACCTCGTATCTCTTCCAGACACCCACACGCTCTTTCTCTCGTTTTGTTTTTGCTATTTTTTTTTTTTGATGCGCCATGCGCTAGCTCTACTTCTTACAACAAAGTTTTTTTTAAGCGACAAGAAATATGGCCAGCGAGCGCACCTTCATTGCCGTGAAGCCGGACGGTGTCCAGCGCAACCTCGTCGGTGAGATCATCCAGCGCTTCGAGAAGAAGGGCTACAAGTTGGTCGGCCTCAAGATGCTCCAGCCCTCCGCAGAACAGGCGCAGCAGCACTACATTGACCTCGCGTCGAAGCCGTTCTACAAGGACCTCGTGGCGTATTTCTCCTCTGGCCCGATTGTCGGCATGGTGTGGGAGGGCAAGGGCGTCGTGAAGGGCGGCCGCACGCTGCTCGGCGCGACGAACCCTGCTGACTCGCTCCCCGGAACGATCCGCGGCGACTTCGCTGTTGATGTGGGCCGCAACGTGTGCCACGGCTCCGACTCTGTCGAAAACGCGAAGCGGGAGATCACGTTCTGGTTCAAGACAGAGGAGGTCATCAACTGGACGTCGCACTCCGTCAAGCAGATCTACGAAAGCGCGTAGAATCACCTACATGGGCCCGTTTGTTTTTAGGGAGAACTTGGTTTTGAATGAGGATGGAAAGAGCGAAGGGAAGGCAGGGGAAAAGAGCGAAGATGCGGAACACGCATAAAAACTAAACAAAAGAAAAGAAAATGATTAAAATAGCAAAGAGAGATAAAACCAAAAAAAAAAAGAAGATTGAAATGTTATGACCACAGTGCTGGAAAATTTTCTTGTGAGTCTGTTTGCTTGCGTGCTACTGCCTCGCGTATTGACCTGTCCTCTGCTTTCACCGCGTCTTTGTATTTGTGCCAGTTCTCT